GTCAAGCACTTCATTTCTTTGTCCCCTCCCCCGACTTTGCACATAGCAACCCCTTCTAAAGGGGGCAGAGCTGCCTGAGCTTGTTAAATATTAGATCTGGGGGCTGGGGATATGGCTCAAGTAGCAGCATGCTCGCCTGGCATGTGTGAGGCACTGAGTTCGATCCTCAGCACCACATAAAAATAAAATAAAGACTTGTGTCCACTTAAAGCTGAAAAATAAATAAATAAAAAATTAGATCTGAGGTATAGCTCAGTGGTAGGGCCTGTGGTAATCTGCAGTTGGCCCTGGGGTCTGTCCCCAGTACCAGGAGAGAAAAAAGAAAGGTCTAAGATCTGTTGGGAAGAGCGGATATCACCTTTACTTGGGCGCTCCTTTAGTAGCTTCCTAACTTAATTGGTCCTCCTGTGTTGACCTCCCCAACTGCTCTTCATAAAGCAACTGGAATTCAATTTTTTTCTTTTTTGCAGGGCTAGGATTGAACCCAGGGCCTCATGCATACTAGGTGAGTGCTCTACAACTGAGCCACACCCTCAGCCTGAGAATTAGATTTTTTTTTTTTTTTTTGGTACCAGGGATTGAACCCCAGAGCACTTAACCACTGAGCCACATCCTCAGCCCCTTTTATTTTTTTGAGACACGGTCTCACTACGTTGCTTAGGGCCTCCCTAAGTTGCTGAGGCTGGCTTTGAACTTATGATCCTCCTGCATTGGCCTACTGAGTCACTGGGATTACAAGTGTGGACCACCGTGCCTGGCAAGAATTAGATTTTAAAAAACATACAACATGTGTTGTCCCTTTGTCTAAACTACCCCCCCACCAAAGAAAAAGACTTCCTATCTCACTTAAATTTGAATGCTGCCCAGCCCCAAGCCCCTGCCCACCTTTCCACGCTTTCCTTCCTTAGCCTCTCTTGCTTTCAGGAACTGATTTCCATGTCTTCAGTCTGCCAAGCTGCTCCTAATCTATGATTTTGAGGGGGTGGTACTGGAGATTGAACCCAGGGGGACTCTACTACTGAGCTATATCCTCATTTATTATTTTTTTCAAGACAGCGTCTCAGTAAGTTGCCCAGGCTGCTCTCGATCATATGATTCTCCTGCCTTGGCCTCCAGAGTTGCTGAAATTACAGGTGTGCACTGCTGAACCCAGCCCAAACTCTGATGGATATTTGTTTGGTTGGTACTGGGGATTAAATCCAGGGTCTGGCACAGGCCAGGCAAGTACTTTACCAGAGTCCTTTTTAGTTTTTGAGACAGGATCTAGCTCAGTTGCCCAGACCAGCCTCTAACTTGTGATCCTCCTGCCTTAGCCTCCTGGGTAGCTGGGTTTCCAGGTGTGCTCTACCTTGCCTGGCTAACCTCTGATGTTTGAACTGCTCTTCCCTTTGCAGAGAATACTCTTGCTTTGAAAGGCTGGGTGATGATACAGTATGATCTCACCTATGATGTGAAACCTAAAAAGGTAAACCCAGAGAAATAAAGAGCAGGAGCAGGGGAGGTCCCAACTCATCAGGAACTGCACTACCCCACTAGCCTCCCCGCCACTCTCTGACATCACTATTTGATTTTTGTCTTGTTACTTAACGCCATCCAAAATGACTGTGTTCATTTGTGTACATACCTATTCTTTATCTCCTTTTTCAAGAAGGTGAGGGCCTGCAGAGGAGGGATCCTCTAGCACTAGCTTTGGAGTCCTAGAGCAGGGCCCAACCCACCAGCCAAGGGTCCTATAAATTCCGCTTACACTAGCAAACAAAGTCACAGACAGGAGAGTTATGATATGTTATAACAAGGCTCAGAGGGAGGAAGAGAGGAACTGTGGATTTTTTATTTAAAGGGTTCAGGATGCAGCTCAGTGTCTGTCTAGCATGCATGGGGCCCTGATTTCAATCTCCAACACAGCAAAATAAACAGATTAAAACAAATAATAAAAATAAAAATAAGCAAAATCTCTGGGAAGAAGTTAGCGGTACAGCTGGAATATGACACCTGAGAAGAGAGGGCTAATCTGTCCCCTTTGTTGCTTTGGACAGATATTTAGAGGTCTGGGTTTCAACATTTTAAGAGTTATGTCAGAACTGGGATGATTTCAGAAAAGAACAATCTAAATGAACACAGGGTAGGGAAAACAGAATACAGGGAAAGGCTACATGATTTGGGATCTTAGGCCAGAAAATGGAAGGTTCACAGGCAGTTTCAAAATGGTTTAAAAGTGAATCCTTGCCTGTAATCCCAGCATCTCTGGAGGCTGCGGTAGAAGGATCACGAGTTCAAAACCAGCCTCAGCAACTTAGTGAGGCCCTAAGCAACTCAGCAAGACCCTATCTCTAAATAAAAATATAAAAAAAAGCTGGGGATGTGGCTCAGGGGTTAAATGCCTTTGGGTTCAAAACTCAGTATCAACAACCAAAAAAGTGAGTCCTATCGTCAGAGCAGACAGGTGCCAGGTAGGCAACTAGGACAAGAAGCTGAGCCGAAAGACAGAACTACAAAGCCTTTCCTCATTTGTTGAAGTCTGCAAGCAAGAGGCAGAAACAGCCTCTGGCTCTCTTGTTCCTTCGTGAAACAGCACTGGACGAGGGACAGGTGAGGAGCAAAGGGACTATCTCACCATCAAGTAGCACCAGTTAGTGCTCCTGCCTCTTTAAGAACCTGTGGGCTGGGAGACAGGGAGAAGGGCTGGAGAGAAAGGTATGAGCCAGGTCACCTCAATGTCCTTCAGTAAGGAAGTCCTGGTAGAGGCTGGGAAAGTGCTCTGCTAGGTTCCCACAAGAGGCCTCGGGAGGAGGTCCCTAGGTGGGATGCAGGGCTGACATGGGCTAGGCCTGAGGCCTTGACTGTAACTCCCTTCAGAAAAATGCACCACATGGGCCTGCCTTGTACTTAGCCAGAGTGGGGGGGCAGCTTCCCTCACCAGGCCTGCCTGGCAAATTCTTGCTTAAGGTCCAGGCCGAAAGGTCACTGGGAGGATTGGGCTGGAGCCAGAATCCTCCCCAGCTAGCCTGCCTGCATCCAAAGCCCCTGTCCTTTCCAGGGCCAACCACATCCTCTCATCCTGCTGCTGGGGATCTGCCTTGCCTCCACCATCTCCTACCTGCTTCCATGAGAGTCTCTCTGCCTCTCGATCCCACATCTTTGACCCACACTGCACTGTCTCCATTTTCATCCTAGAATCCCAAGAATGACTCATTTCTTCCCTAAGACTCTTCGATGGTGCTCCAACAGTAAACTTGGTGGGCTATAAAGGTCCTTCCTACTCTTGGGGTCTCCTCTGTACTACTGCCATGTTATAGGAACAGCACAGCTCAGGTCACTGCCTGCCATTAGAAGTACAATACCACACTGCAGTCCCTGTGACCTGAGAAGCTGAGGCCTCAGGATCTCTTGAGCCCAGGAGTTTGAGGCCAGCCTAGGCAACACAGGGAGACCATCTCTCTCTCTCTCTTTTTTTTTTTTTTGGTACCAGGAATTGAGCCCAGGGGCACTTAACCATTGAGCAACATCCCTAGCTCTTTTTATTTTGAAATAGGGTTTCACTGAGTTGCTTAGGGCCTCGCTAAATTGTTGAGGCTGGCTATGAACTTGCCATCCTCCTACCTCAGCCTCCTGAGCCACTGAAATTACAGGTGTGCACTAACACGTTCAGAGAGACCCCAACTCTTAACAAAAATAAAAAGTAAAGTGACCCACACCTAATTCACTATATATAATGCTAGTTTCTCCCCTCCCCCTGTGAGTCTATCTCTTCATTCCTGCCTCAAGTGATGTAGAGACAGAGAACTGCCCTCCCTACTCACTGTGTCCTCCCTGCCCAGCATCTGAAAATAATAAAATTTTTAACCTATTTCCTCTTGTGGTGGTATATTGAATTTGTACCTTTCATCTCATGAACCAGGGTGGCTCCAGGCAGATTTTTCCCCAGGACACTGTGGAGACCACAAGATCTAGCTTGCAGCACCAGAGCTATAACCAGGCAGGCATGAATGAACACTGGTCAGACAGAAGCCATAGAGCTTCTGCCAGTATAAACAATTTCCCGTGTAAGTGACACCTGGTCATGGGTTGGAAACTAGGCATTAGGCAGTCTGCCAGGTGAAGTGTCCCATGAAGCCATACAGCAAACACTCACATCCAGCCTCTACATTTCCCTTTAGGACAGAGTTGCTAGCTGCTTTGCTACTAGAACCCCAGTTTACTGGGGGCTCTCAGAACCCCCTGCCTTCCCATGCATTCCACATTCTGACGAGCTCCCTCACTCACAATCAGCCTCTGTGCCTGCTGTCCCTTAATCTGGCACATCCTTCCCACTCCTCTGTCTGCCCCTCCAGCTGCAGCTCAAAGCTCACCTCCACCAGGAAGGAGTCTCCACAGCACTTTGCACAAGCTTTTGTGACACAACTCTGCAATCTTGTCACACAGAAGGCCTTGCTGAAAAATGTTGTATAATGAATAAATGGATAAAAAAATAATCAATATTTATTATTTTAAGTTCTGTCTCCTTTTTGCACCCCTGGCCTACCTCCCACCTCCACTCCAGACATATGCAATCAGATCAAAATGATCAGAGCTATAGAATGTCTGGGACAATCCTCCAGATCTGTCTGTCCTCAAGCTTTACTTCTTAGCAGGGTGGGCCATAAGGACTGTCCACACCTGGGAATCCTGGCTGCTGGACCTCCAGAAGGAGGAATCCAACTAGTCCCCACCCACAGCTTCACTGGGGCAACTGTCAGCAGTTGGTTTTTAAAATTTGAATTGAGGGCTGGTATTGTGGCTCAGTAGTGGGGTGCTTGCCTAGCGTGCATGAGGCACTGGGTTCAGTCCCTGGCACCACATAAAAATTTAAAAAATAAATAAAATGAAGGTATTGTGTCCATCTACAATTAAAAAATTTAAAAAAAATTAAAATAAAATTTGAATTGAAAGATTTTACCCTCCTCTGATAAAAATCACACCCTGGCCTTTTTTCTAGTTAAAAACTTTATTCCAGAAGCAGAACTGTTTTTAACATGGTGTTCAAGGAATACAGCTACTGTCTTTTAAAGCCCAAGTCCTACCTTGCCAAGCCCCAGCTCCTCCAAATTCCTTCCCCAGGCTCTAGAACCTTCTCACAGAGTTTGGAAACTATATAGCCCAGACTCCCAACCTCCAGGCCCCACCTTTAGAGCCTCTTCTCAGGGCCTGGGCACTTTGGCTCTGAACTTAGACCTGAAGTCGCAAGTCCTCTCTTCCACACACTGTATTTCCACAGGAAAGGGCCGATCTGACTTCTGGAGAGGCGTTTCCATGGGAAACAGAGCAGGAGGGCTCTGGTGGCAGCCGAGTACCCTCACAGGCAGCAGAGCCGTTCCACCTCTGCCTCGCAGTCATAGAATTTTTCAAAAAGCTCTGGGGAGGTGCCATTGCACTCAAACCACCTCCTTAAGGTGCCCAGGGCCCGCAGGGCATCAGCTTTGGTGGGCAAGGGCTCAAAGCTGTCCATCCTGCTCCCCTCCTCGTTGTCAGTGCCCATCTCCTCTTTGCAAACTCCAGGCCCTGGCTCCTCACCTTCCAGGTCCACAAAGCGGGAAAACTCCTCCTGGCTCAGCCCACTGGGGACTGGTGGCATCTCAGAATCTTTGTCTGAGGATGGGGGTGTTTTACCTGGGGCCAGCCCTTCCTGAATGAAGCTGCTTAAAATGAGTTGAGGAGGCACCTTGGCCCAGGCAGCAGCCACCATGTGCAGAGCATCCAGCACTGTGATGCCAGCCCCAGCCTCAGCCAGTGAGGTGCCATCCCTCTCGCTCTGGACAGCAGTCAGCTTGCCCAGCAGTCGGTGTCGGTAGTGGGCCTTAAAGGCCCAGACTACAGAGCCAGGCAGGGAAGGTGTGGTGCTGGAGGCAGACAGAGGCAAGAGCCTCACGTGGTGGAACCCAGGCAGGCCCTCCAGCTCCTCCATCACTTGGGCAGCCAGCAGCAAGGCTACCTGTCGGCCCTGCTGCCCCATGTCCTGGTCAAACTGTGCTAACCATTCTGACCAGGGGATGCCTGGGTCAGGGTAATAGGAGGCAGGCAGCGCTTCACTGCTGACCCCAAAGAAACACCTTGGAGCTGACCGGAGCCCGCCAACCAATACCCGTCGTTTCTCTGTGCCTCTGCTGTTGGCACATAGCAGTACCTGTACCTGATCACAAGCAACTGCTCTGCCGGGCACTGCCCGATACAGCAAGGGCACTTTGGCACAACCAAAAACATCCTCTGGGGAGAAGTCTTTAAGGGAAAGAGGAGGCTGGGCCTGAGATGTGAGCCCTGGGGGAGGTGGTTCAGGGGGGAATGGAGGGGCAAGGACATGGCGAGCCCCAAAGCCTACATTGTTTCGGCGTTTCCAGCGGACCAGCCAGCCAATGCTGGGCACAAAATCCTGCCCCATGATATCTGCCAGTTCCTTGGCTTTGTGGAGCAGCATGGGTCCTGTCACGTCCCAGGCCTTGGCCTGGGCAATGTGGTACCAGCAGAGCAGGGCCTCGTCAATCCCACTGTACTTGGACTCCCGTTTGCGCTTGCGCTCCCTGTTAGCTGTACCGCTGCACCAGTCTGCCAGCAGCTTCTCTTTATTCTTGCAGATGCGTGAGATCTGTGGCTGGGACACCTGGAAGCGCCGAGCTACCTCAGACTGGGACATCTTAGACTCATCCAGGAGTTCCAGCACCTGGATCTTCTCAGCCAGGGACAGGGCATGGAGTTTCTTTTTGCTACTCAATTCCATGGTTCCTCCAGGGCACCTGTGGAGACAGAAGATAAGGTATAGTGGGTGCGACCAGAAGAATGGGAGAAGAGTGCAGAAAGGAAGAGAGGATAGGGGAATGGGCTGGAGTATGGGAGACCAGGGGAGACTGGACCAGCTGAAAGAGGAAAGGAAATGAACTGGCTGATTGAGGAGTGGGCTGGACACCACCCCAGGGAATGCCAGAACAGAGCTGGGAGGGGGCATCTCTGGTCAGAGGGAGAGGAGAATCTGGGCTGGAGTTTGGCATCATTGGGGGAGAAGGATGAATAGTCCAGGGACAGCTGCTGAGACAACAAAGGAGTGAGGATTGGAGAGGGCCTGAGGCTGGGGCAGGTGTAGGGGACAATCAGGGCTGTGTGTGTGTGTGTGTGTATACCATGGGAGGGAGATGAGGACAATGGCCTGGGCTGGACTCAGATGATGTTAGGGGACAGGGTGGTGGGGTGAATGGACACAGCTGAGACAGGTGTACAGACGACAAAGGGAGAAAAAGATGGGTCTAGGGAACAAATTGGGGCAAGTCTAATTTGGGGCTGTGTGGGAGGGCAAGGAGAGGGGTAAGGCTGGGAGAGGGTCCAGCCTAGAAGGGAAGTGGGAGGGCAAGGGAGCGTGCAGGTGCACAGGCGACAAAGGGTGATAGGGGTGAGGAGGCTGCAGGCAGCGAGAGGGGCGGGGGTCCACCGCGGGGAGGGTGGTGGCCTGGGAGGGGTACCAGGGAGCGAGAACCTGCTCCCGAGATTCAGGCAGGCCGGAAGCCGGCTCTGCGCCCTGGCCGGCCTCTCCCCACCTCGACCCACAGTCCGTCGGCCAGATCGACCCAGGCGCAGATCCAGGCGCGACCCACCCGCCCGCCCGCCGGGCCTCCCACTCCGCACCCACCTCAGGCGCTAGTCCCGTGGCTCGCGCCTCTGCCCCTACCCGGCTCCCCAGCCCCTGTCCGGGGAGCTAGTGCACAGCAGGTGAAGGACTGGCACCACGACCCCGAGGGCGGAGCGGGCTGAGGGGCTGCGCGGGCGGCGGGCGCGCGCACAGCCAGGTTCCGCGCGCGCCGCCCGCGCCGGGCTCTCTCCCGGCTGGGAAGACCGCGGTGCGGCTCCTCCGCTCCCACCCGCCGTAGCCCCGCCCCTGACCGATCAGATTGGCCCCCAGCGGGGCCCCTTCCCGCCCCTAACCACGTCTCATTGGAGGCCGCAGAAGTGGCGGTTCTTCGGGACCTCTGAAGGCGGGGCTCCCAGAGTAAAGGCGCGGGGGGGCGGAGCCAGCACCCGGCGGGATTCCCCTGGAGCTACCAGGGGCGGGACCAGCCCAAGAGCCAGGTGAGCCTTCAGGCAGTCGCGCGTCCCTAGACCTTCCTGGCCGTGACCTGAAACAGCCTGGGCTCCTTCCTCTACTAGACGGAGCGAATGGCCCTCACGGAGTTGTTTTGAGAGAATGATGAAAGGAGAAAATGGATGCTAGCTTTAAGCCACACAAAAGCTAGTTACCATGGACAGCGCGGGACTCACGTCTAACAATCCGGCTACCGAACATTATTTGCCTGGAACCAGTTCTGATTCAAGGCGTAAGAACTCGTTTTTATGTTTTGGTACCTCTTGACAAAATCCAAGTTCCTACACTCAAGATCTAATATTCCTTTCCTTGCTAACTTTCAGAACCGAACAAAATTGGGTATTTTAACTTGCAGCCCCAGCTTCCCCCCTTCCCGGCCTGCCTAGCTTATAGGCTTCCGTACCACTGCATTCTACCAGCTGCTATCCACCGCTCCAAGTCCTGCAAACCCTTCTCACATTCCCTCATGCCAGTTTCAGTGTTCTCATTATCACCTTTCTTTTCCAGCCCTTGCTACTCAACCGCCAAGGACAGTGGCCCCACTCCCTCCCTCTACTCCTGGCCTCTTTAGTCTAAGTACTCAAGGATGTACGTGCTCAGCTCCTCACATCCCAGTTCAGAACACCCTATTTACTGTAACAGAACAGTCCAGAGTTCAGTCTTCCAAAAGGCGACTTTCAGGATGACCCAGAAGCAAAACCAAACCAAAGGAGACTTCAGAGGACCTATAAATAAATGAATCTTTCTCTAAAGTAAGTATTTAAGGGCTAAGGTGTAGCTCGGTGGTTAGAGTGTCTGCCTGCCTACCATTTGCATGGGTCTGCATTTGATCCCCAGCACCACAAAAACAAAATTTAAAACTTCAACACACACTCAAGTGAGACATAACAAGATCCTCTACACAGCATCAAAATGTTTACTTTGTCGCAAGGGATTAATTTTGTGCATATAAATGTATCCTAGGAAAGACTGCAGAGCTGCATTGTGGACAGTTCTTGCCCCAGGAATACTGTAGGGAAGCAACATTATGAGACAGGGCTGAGACCAAGACTGAGGCCCCTCTGAAGGAGGTTGCCCTCATTATTTATGCAAATGCTTTCATGTGCCCCATGGTGATGTTACTTGTGTCCTATGTTACTGTCACTTAAATTTATATAATAATCAAACTTCTGGATCCATTTTAAGTATCTTTGAGATTTCAAGGTAAACTATTATAAACTTGTCACCACTTCTATCCAAGTCTAGCAGAATATTCTCAACCAACCAAAGCACAGAAATAAACAGGATGCTAGTTATTTCAACCCAAATTTTGTATTGACGAAAACAGCTTCATTGTTTTTTATAAGAAGTTGTTATAAACTTGAATTTACATAACAAAACTACAAAATAACTAATTTTTTATCGGCTCACATGTTCAAAAATTTGGATTTGGGGCAAAAAAAGCTATAAAACGATAAAAAACAAACAAACAAAATACACTGTCTGAAGGAATAAAGTTTTAGATAACATGGCCTTCTTAACCAGGAGAGTTAGGAGATAAACCATCCAGCAGAGGGCTCTGTGTAAAAATGTTTATTTTTACTAATGTTTAGAATACAGGAACTAAAGAAGGGGAGGGGAGAAGAGACACAACTCCAAAGCGACAGTGGGTTAGGGCCTGCCCACAAGCAAAGGAAGGTCATTCCAGGGTGTCCTGGCATGGACCATCCCCCTTCTACTTAATGTCAGCGTCAGCGCCACTAAGCAGAAAACCAAGAAATCAGGGCATGAAGACCTTACCAGCTGCTAGCGAGCGTGCAAGGGAAGAAGGGGACATCTATGCATTCCTGTGACCTAGGAGCCAGGATACACAGGCAGGAGGCAGAAGCTCCCAATTCAGTAAAGGGCAGGAAGCTGAATGCCCAGGTCCAGGAAGAACAAAAAGGGGATTTTGGAGGTAGGCTTTTTTGTCGAGTTAAAAAACAGGCACATTATCCAACGTCTCCTTGTGGCCCCCAAACTGCTGGCCTGGCCCCCTGATGTGTCCCTTCTCCCCACAAAAGCAAAGGGAACAAGGAGGGAGGCAGAAGACAGGAGGTTCTGAGGGTGGGGAATGCTTGGGTCTCCAGAGACCACTGGTAAGTGAGCCAGGCAAGCACAGGAAGGACAGGTGAAGCTGCTACTCCCCTGGATGGGGTTGGGCAGGATAGGGCAAAGCCAGGAAGGTGACTAAGAGCATCCTGGCTCAGGCAAAAGACCCCTTGTAGCAGGGCCACCCTGAAGAGAGGAGGCAAAGCTAAGCAGCACAAAGGGCATGGAAGATTCCTGGTGCATAGCTTCAGCTTGCTGACTCCCAGCTGCTCCCATCAAGCAGGCCCGGCCTGGCTCATCTCTGGGGAGGAAACTCTGGAGACCAGAGCAGAAGCTGGGCCAAGAGAAGTGAGCTGCTCTCCCACTCTTTCTCGGAGGATACGGTTTGAACCCTGTGATCACCAAGGCCTGTGCCCAAGGCAAGCAGAGTGAATGCACTTCATGGAGAGCAGAGAGAAGCTGGGCCCACGGGTACACCTTGGGGCAGTGTGCTGCTCCTTTCTCCCTGAGGGCCTGGGGCCAGAGGTGGTCAGAGCTGCCACCTCTGCTTGTTGTTGCCAAAGGCAGGTTGGCATGACCACCCCAAGGTTCTGGACTTGTGAAAGAGAGGAGGAAAGGAAAGGTATGAAAAAACAAGGTGGAGGAGAGAAACAGCCTTAGATATGTGGGGGAGCTGGGGGTGGCACATCAGGAGGAATTCTGGTTCTGGTAGATGGAAGCTTTCTCCTTCAATAGGTCCAGACACAGATGGCAGCTCCAACTTCCTGCAGAGAAGCATAATGAAGTCAAGGTGGGCCCCATAAAACCCGTATCTACTGTCCTTCCACTTTTTTTTTTTTAATTCTTTTTTTTAGTGGTAGATGGGACACAATATCTTTATTTATTTTTATGTGGTGCTGAGGATCAAACACAGTGTCTTACACAAGCTACGCAAGCGCTCTACCACTGAGCCAAAATCCCAGCCCTGTCCTTCCACTCTTTACTCCTCATCTCTAGGTGGGATAAGAGTAATTCTGCAGCAGCAGTTTCATGATGAACCTCTTGGTCTTCAATACCATGAAAAACATTTTTCATGAAGATGAAAGTAACAATCAGCTATAGGATCAAATACAGATGCCCAGGTCCTCTTGGCCCTGATAAATCAGATGCCCTGGGAATAGCAGGAGAGCCTTGGTAAAGACAAGTTTTCAAAGTGCCCCAGCTTGCCAAGCAAGGTGGCGCAGTCCTATAATCCCAGCAGCTAGGGAGGCGGAGGCAGGAGGATCGCAACTTCAAAGCCAGCCTTAGAAAAAAAGCAAGGCACTAAGCAACTCAGTGAGACCCTGTCTCTAAATAAAATACAATGGGGCTGGGGATGTGGCTCAGTGGTCAAGTGCCCCTGAGTTCAATTCCTGGCACCAAAATAAATAAATAGATAGATAGATAGATAGAGTGCCCCAGCTTTAGCTGTATTATTATCAGAATAATCAGACATGGTTTTCATGGCCCCAAAAGTAGAACAAAGGTCATGAAAAGAGGCTTCAGAGTTGGGCAGAACTGTACATGTCTGTAATCCCAGCAACTCAGGAGGCTGAGGCCCTCAGCAACTTAGCAAGACCCTGTCTCAAAAATAAATAAATAGGGCTGGGGATGTGGCTCAAGTGGTAGCACGCTCGCCTGGCATGCGTGCGACCCGGGTTCGATCCTCAGCACCACATACAAACAAAGATGTTGTGTCCGCCGAAAACCGAAAAATAGATATTAAAAAATTCTCTTTAAAAAAAAAATAAATAAATAAATAAAATAGGGCTAGGGATGTAGCTCAGTTGGTAGAGTGCTTTCCTTGCATGCACAAGGCCCTGGGTTCAATTCCCAGTACCAAAAAATAAGTAAATAAATAAATAAAAAGGCTTCAGAGAAACCAGTTCTATTTCCACATTAAGATAGCTTTCAGTGGGCTGGGGATGTGGCTCAAGTGGTAGCGCGTTCGCCTGGCAATGCGTGCGGCCCAGGTTCGATCCTCAGTACCACATACAAACAAAGATGTTGTGCCCGCCGAAAACTAAAAAATAAATATTAAAAAAAAAAAAAAAGATAGCTTTCAGGGCTGGGGTTGTAGCTTAGCAGTAGAGCGCTTGCCTCGCACCTGGGTTCGATCCTCAGCACCACTTAAAAATATATGAATAAAATAAAGGTATTGTGTCCAACTACAACTAAAAGATAAATATTTAAAAAAGAAAAAAAAAAAGGATAGTTTTCTGCCAGGTGTGGTGACACACACCTGTAATCC